AGGTGTGCCTCAAACAGCGTCAGCAGCAGCAGCAGCAGAAGGCAGCAGCAGCAGCAGAAGCAACATTCGCAGCAACACAAGCAGTAACAGCGACAGCAACAACAGCAGCAACACAAGTGTCAGCAGCAACAGCCATAGTCACCGTAGCACACGCAACAGCATCAACAGTAACAGCAGCAGAAGCAGCAGCAAAAATAGCGACAGTAGCAGCAGCAGCAGCATCAGCAGCAGCATAAACAGCAGCAACTGCAGCAGCAAAAGCGGCGAACTGGAAGCGGAGCAGCAAGGAAGTTGACTGAGTCTATAGCCTGCTGCTGCTGCCTGCGTTGCACAGCAGCAAGGACTTCTTGAGTGCAGCCTCTCCGTCTTGCTGCTACTGTTGCCGCTGCTGCTGCTGCTGCTGCCTCTGTCTCTACTTGCTGCAGCAAAGCAGTCCACAGCAGGCGCTGCAGCTCCTGCCCTTGCTTCTGCTGCTGCTGCTGCTGCTGCTGCGGCAGCAGCGGCGAAGGGACTCCCAGCAGCTGCGAGCGCCGGGCAAATTCCCGCAGCAGCTCATAAGGGGCCCCGATCTTCTCTCCCTGAGCAGCAGCAGCAGGTGCTGCTGCTGCTGCTGTTAAAACGCCGGGCAGCAGCCGCGCTGTCAAAGCAATGCTGCAGCAACGCATGTTCGCAGCAGCAAACTGCAAACTGCACCTTCTGATGATAGCTGCTGCCAGATGTCTACGGGAGAGAGGACACAGCAGCAGCAGCAGCAGCAGTAGCAGCAGCAGCAGCAGAATCTTACCCGTGGGTCCCGCCAACGAAGCAGCACTGCAGCAGCAGGGAAGCAGCAAAGTTGCAGAGACTTTGCTGCAATTGCTGCCACCTCTGCTGCTGCTGCTGCTGCTGTCTCTCTTTGGCTGTTACTACCTCACTACAGCTCCTGCCCCTATCATCTGTCCCTGCATCCCCTGCTGCTGCTGCTGCTGTTGCTGTTGCTGTTGCTGCTGCTGCTGTTGCTGCTGCTCGGTGTCTGTGGTGTTTGTCGGGGGCCCACTGCAACAAGGGACTCCAATTATTTGCTTCGTTGAATACAAAACGCAGCTGACAGCAGAAGGAGCTCATGCTGCTGCTGCTGCTGCTGCTGCTGCTGCTGCTGCTGCTGCTGCTTGCCAGCAATGGTGCTGCTAAGGGGCCCCCCACGGCCTCCACGGCAGCACGGCAATGTCTGCAGCAGCAGCAGCAGCAGCAATGAGCCGCTGCAGCAAACGCTTCTGCTGCGGTTGGTAATGCTGCTAAGTAAAGAGCCCGCGCCAGCAGCAGCAGCAGCTGCAGCTGTGCTGCTGCTTGTGGCAGCAGCAGCAGTAGCGGCTGCGGAGCAGTCGCCAGGGCTTGCAGCAGCAGCACTAAGCGGCATATTGCAGCCTCTGCTGCTGCTGCCGTTCTTGCAGCAGCAGCAGCAACAACAACAGCAGGAGGTGCTGCTGCTACTGCTGCTGCTGCTGCTCGGTCCGGGTAGGTCCCAACAGGGCAGCCGCTCTTCAGCAAGTGTGCTTCCATAACTGCAACACTGCTGCTGTTGCTGCTGTTGCTGCTGTTGCTGCTGTCACTGCTGCTGTTGCTGCTGCTGTTGCTGATGCTGCTGCTGTTGCTGCTGCTGCTAGCTGAGGCAGCATGGTGCATGCACGTGCCGGTCACAGACGCTGCAGCAAAGCTCCGCAGGATCTTCTTTAAGAAAGAGACAGAAGCAGCAGCATCTGCTGCCAGCAGCAGCAAAGTCGGCAGCAGCGCTGCTGCTTCTGCTGCTGCTTCCGCGGGCACTGCCAGGTGTACGTACACAGCAGCGCCAATGACACACCCCCATCGGTCCTGCAGCTGCAGCTGCTGCAGTTGCTGCTGCTGCAGCTGCTGCAGTTGCTGCTGCTGCAGCTGCTGCTTCTGTTGCCGCTGTTCTTGCTGCTGCTGCTGTCCCTGCTGCTGCTGCTGCGGAGCAGACGGAAGAGACATTTGAACGGAAAGGAGACAGGAGCGAAGAGAAGCAGCAGCAAATATGGCGCAAAGCCGCAGCAGCAACTTTGCTTCCCTGACAGCAGCAGCAGCAGCTTTTGCTGCGGCAGGAGTACCAGAAGCAGCAGCAGCACGTGCAGAAGCAGCAGCAGCTGCTGCAGCAACGGCAGCAGACACAGCCTCCTTCTGAATCCACGCTGCATGTAGGCAGAAGCCAAACCAGTACAGCCGATTGCATATGGTGCTGCTGCTGCTGCTGCTGCTGCTGCTAATGTCCTGTTTCTGCAGCCCTCGCGCTTCAGCAGCAGTTGCTGCTGCTGCAGCACCTGCTGCAGCAGCAGACAACTCTGCTGCTGCAGCAAGCCCCACCTGCCGGGCTGCAAGGCCTAGCAAAGGTGTAAGGGGGGACAAGCGCATAAGACGGCACGCGCGAGTAGCAGCAGCAGCAGCAGCTGTTGCTGCTGCTGCTGCTGCTGCTGCGGCTAAAGGTGTACCTGAGTGCTGTGGTTTTCTTTGCTGCTCCCAAAGGGCCCACATTTGCTTGTACTGTGCATCATACGGCAGCAGCAACATCTGCTGCTGCTGCTGCTGCTGTTCCTGCTGCTGCTGCTGCTGCGTGGTGACGCAGTTAAGCGCATGCAGCGGCGGCAGCAGCAGCCAGTCTGCAACTCCTGCAGCAAAAGCCTCCACTATTTGCTGCCTCTCTTTGGGGCTTAGCAGCTGAAGGGCCCCAGCAGCAGCAGTACGAATAGCGAATGCCCACAGCCCCACAGCATGGCCCCACACCCTGCTGCTGGTCCTGCTGCTGGTCCTGCTGCTGCTGCTGCTGCTACTGCTGGGGTTTGCTGCACAGCAGTCGAGCACTGGCAGCGCCTCAAGAATCCTCGAGAGCAGCAGGGGGGCCCTTGGGGCCTCAGGGGGCCCTTTGGGGCCCCTAAGAAAGGTTAAAGGCAGCCATGCTGCTGCAGCAGCAGCAGCTGCTGCTGCTGGTGCTGCTGGTGGCTTTTGTCCCCCTCTCAGCCCCAATTGAGGCAGTGCGGTTATTGTGCTGCAGCAAAAGTATAGAGTAGCTGCTGCCAAGATTGGCCTGCAGTAGGGACAGCAAAGTGTTACATCTTGCTGCTGCTGCTGCTGCTGCTGTAGTTGCTGCTGTTCTTGCTGTAGCTGTTGTTGTCGTTGTTGTTGCTGCTGCTGCTGCAAGTTCTGGTGACACGGTGGAGCAAAAGGCTCAGAGCAAAACGCCTCCACTAGGCTTTCTAGCAGTTGCTGTGTCTGCTGCTGCTGCTGCTGCTGCTGCTGCTGCTGCAGCAATCTGCTGCGCCAGGAGAAGGGCCCCCACGGGAGGCCCCTCACAGGGGCCTCCTTGGAGCCAAAAGGCGGCTGCAGCAAAATAGTGTCTCTCTCTTGGTTCTGCACTGCAGCAGCAGCAGCTGCAGCTGCAGCTGCTGCTGCTGTTGGTTGGTCACCTGCTGCTGCTGCTCTCAGGGTGCTGCAGAAGCGGCGGGAGAGGGCCGCAACTTCTGTTAGAAGAGGGGCACCCCACAGGATTCCGTTGGTAGCGATTTGTTGTTCCTGTTGCTGCTGCTGCTGCTGCTGCAGTTGGTGCTGCGGCTGCTGTCGCTGAGCGCTGGTTAAGGCTGTAGCGGCAGCGAGCTTGAGCAGCAGCAGCAGCAGCTGTTGCGCCGCAGCAAAAGAGCAGCAGCAAAGGCTGCCGTTGCAGTTAGCTGCTGCAACAAACTCCCCTCGTTTGTGACGCTGCAGCAACAGGTGCTGCTGCTGCTGCTGCTGCCGCTTGCCTTGACTTTCTGCAGCAGCAGCAGCCCCCAGGAGCTGCAGCAAAAGATGAAGCGCCGTGCGGCGGGCACTTAACCCGCAGCGCAGCAGCTCTATATCTATATCTTTCTGCTGCTGCTGCTGCAGCTGCTGCTGCCGCTGGAGGTAGAGTGGGCGGCGTTGCTGCTGCTGCAGCAAAAACTGCAGCAGAGCAGTTCCTGTGCAGGTAGCTGCAGGGAGAAAGGAAGCAGCACGAGCAGCAGCTTCTACGAGCAGCAGCAGCACGGGCAGCAGCAGCAGCAGCCCCTCCGCAACAGCCGCAACGGCGTCGTCCTTTTTGCTGCAGTCTACCCGCGTGCTGCTGCAGCAGCAGAACCTACCAGGGGCCTTAAATTCCGCTTGTTCCCCAGCAACAGCAGCAGCAGCAGCAGCAGCAGCAAGTCTCTGCACAGCAAGGAAAAGGCGCTGCAAGCTAACCGCGCACTGCCAGTCATCTGAAGAGTCTGCTGCGCAGTGCTGCTGCTGCTGCTGCTGCTGATGCTTTTGTTGCTGCTGCAGCTGTTGCTGCTGCCTCAGCTGCTGCTGCTGCTTCTGCTGCTGCTTCAGGGCACCTTCCGCTGCGCATTGCAGCAGAGGCCCCATGGATGGCATGTTGAGTGTATGTGCTGCTGCTGCTAAGGACAGCCACAGCAGCGGTTGCTGCAGAGTTCTCTGGTTTGCTGCTGCTGCTAGGCACACTGCAGCATCAGTGTGCCTAGCAGCAGCAGCAAACCGACCGCTCAGATCTTCTAAAGCGGGGGCCCCTGGGGGCCCCCCATGTGTGCGTGAGCAGGAAGGCCGCGGGCAGCAGCAATGAGCAGCAAAGCAACCGCTGCAGCAGCAACAGAAGCAGCAGCAGTTTGCTTCTGCTGCTGCTGCTGCTGCTGCTGCTGTTGGCAAACCAGCGGGAACCACTGCGGCCTCCAGAGTCCTAACAGCAAAATTTATGGGGGCCACTAAGTCCCCTAAGCTTTCAAGCCTTGCCTTTTGCTGTTGCTGCTGCGGTTGCTGCTGCCGCTGCTGCTGCGGTTGGTGCTGCCGCTGCTGCTGCGGCTGCTGCTGCTGCAGTGTGTCGAGAAGGCACTGCAGCAGGGCCACTGCAGAAGCTTCATCTCCTCGTCTGAACGCAGCCGCTGTGGCTGCTCCCCAGCTGCTGGCTTGCATTCTAGCCTGCTGCTGCTGCTGCTGCTGCTGCTGTCGCTGCTGCTGCTGCTGCCACTGCTGCTACTGCCGCTGCTACTGCTGCCGCTTCCGTTGGTGTTGTTGGTGAATGCTGGGGTGAAATCTGGAGTCTCGCTTCCGTGCCTTTGTTCCGGCTGCTGCTGCTGCTGCTGCTGCTGCTGCTACTGTTACTGCTGCTGCTGCTGCTGCTTGGGGAGCCGATCCCTCCGCTGCAGCAACGGCGGCGAGCCAGAAGTGTTTGCTGCATAAGAGGCAGCAGCAAAAGCAGCAAATGAGTCCCCTAAATGCTGCAGAGTCAAAACAAAAAGAATAAAAAGGAGAAGCAGCAGAAGGAAAAGGCCAAAGAGACAGAGACACAAACGAGGGCTGTGAGACAGCAGCAGCAGCAGCAGCAGCAGAGCAGCAGCAGCAGCGCTCAGCAGCCTCAGACAAAATGGAAGCTCGAGGAAAAACACATTTATTATTTTTCACTTGAAATTTCAGTGCTGCTGCTGTTGCTGCTGTTGTTGCTGCTGCTGCAGCAACAGCTGAAAGCCGCAGCAGCAGCGGCTCCGATCGCCGCAGCGCGAGCAGCAGCATCTGAAACACTGCGCTGCACACAAATCATTAAATAAAAATAAAATGCCTTTTTAATTAAATTAATTTAAATGTTTAATTTAATTTAATAGAAAAAAGATTTAAAAAACAAACAAGATCCAGGGCTGCTGCTGGAGCCGCTGCGGTGACCTCACCTTCCGTGGCAGTGTTGCTGCAGCATTTGCAATTGAAGAAAAGATTTACTTGTTTTATTTTTAATTTTATTTTTAATTTTATTATTTAATTTTTCTTTAATTATTTAATTAACCCAAATTGGCCTTTTAAACCCCAGAAACTGCCTGCAGCAGCACTGCTGCGCGGAACCGTGCTGCTCCCACGCCGCCGCCACAGCAGCAGCAGCAGCAGCTGCTGCTGCTGCTGCTGCAGCTGCTACTGCCACTGCTGCTGCTGCTGCCGCTCTCGCTGCTGCAGCAGAGATCTGCAAATGCAACAGCAGCCGTGTCTTTGGGCGCTTCGGTGTGCCTCTCGCGCGCTCAACACGGGGCAGTTCTGTTGCCGCTTCAGCTGCTGCTGCTGCTGCTGCTGCTGCTGCTGCTGCTGTGACTGCCACTCGTTGTGCTGCTGTTGCTGCTGCTGCTCATCCTGCAGCAGCAAGGAAATGCCTAGACCCTGCGTTTTCCAGGTGGCGTCTCACGAAGCTCTTTGCTCCCGAGGGCCTGCAGGAGTCCTCTGTGGCTAGCTGTGGCTAGCTGTGGCTAGCTGTGGCTAGCTGTGGCTAGCTGCGGCAAGCGGCCAGCAGCTGCGGCTAGCTGCCGCGAGCTAGCCAAGAGTGAAAAGCTTACAAGCGACAGAAGATAGAATTAAATATTGCAAAAGTCCTAAACCCTAATCCATAAACCCTAAACCCTAAACCCTAAACCCCTAACCACAAACCCTGAGCTCTGACCGGCAATCACTACAAGCTAAGTAGTTCATCTGGCATCCAGTTCCTGCTGCATCAGTTGCAAGCAGCTAGCTGCAGTTGTCTGCAGCAGCTAGCTGCAGCTAGCTAGCTGCGACAAGCTGCAGCTAGCTGCAGCTAGCTGCATCTACCTGCAGCTAGTAGCAGCTAGCTAGCTGCAATTAGCTAGCTGCAGCTAGCCGTCCCGAAGGAGTAGTACCCACAACTGGCCGCAGCTAGCCAGGCTAGTTCTACCTTTTCACAACTAGCCACAGCTAGCTGCAGCTAGCCACAGCTAGCCACAGCAAGCCACAGCTAGCCGCAGCAAGCTATGGGTAGCCGCAGCTAGCCACGATTTGCCTGCTGCTAGCTGCTGCTCGCTGTGGCTAGCTTTTGCTTCCTGTAGCTGCCTGCATCTAAGCGTAGCCAGCTGCAGCTAGCTGCAGCTAGCTATGGCTAGCTTTCACTGTGCAGTTGACGACGACTCACTAGCTCCCCAACTTGCTTCTGCTGCAGCTGCTGCTATCGCCGCTGCTGCTGCTGCTGTTGCTGCTGCTGCTGACGTAGTTGCTGCTGCCCTCTTCGCTGCTCCTGCTGCTGCTGCAGCAGGCTGTCTGTATGTCGATAAGAAGCGCCAGCTCTGGGCTGGCTTTTGCTGCTTCGTCGCAAACCCCAAACCCTAAACCCTAAACCCTAAACCCTAAACAATAGCAGCAGACACTGTTCTTTAGCTTCTTTTCCTCTTTGCAGATGGCAGCACAGCCAGTTGTGCTTACGTCTGCGCAGCAACAAGGAAAATAAATAAACGAAAAGGATAAAAACCAAATAATAATTAAAATGGATAAATAAAATAACTGAAGAAGAAGGAGAAATGAAAAGATCATAAAAATCTGCAGAGCTGCAGCGTGGCGGGAAAGCTGGGGTGTACGTACACCTGAAAAACAGGGGAAGTCGTGAATTTAAAACGGCAAATTGGAATTTAAAAATTAATTTAATTAAATTTAAAACCTCAGTTTAATTAAATTAATTCTATTTCATTAGCTGGTGGCGCAGCACACGCATTCAGAGCTCTGCATGCAGTAGCTGGGGCTGATCCGAAACGCTAAACCCTCAACCCTAAACCCTAAACTCTAAACCCTAAACCCTCAGGCAAACATGACTTATTATAGTTGAATTCAACTGCTTCGTGTCCCTCATTTTCTGTATTTCTGCACAGTCGGCCTCCAGCCAACTCGCGGCTGCAGCCCCAGTTAACCACTCCTAAGGTTTAGGGTTTAGGGTTTAGGGTTTAGGGTTTAGCGCGGCTGGCGCTTCGTTGCTGCGTCTGTTGGAAGCGGTTTCTGTGGCACTTTCTGTACACCGCGAGACAAGCCTGCCTGTAGCTTTCAGTTCCACTGCAGCAGCAGCAGCAGCAACAGCAGCAGCAGCAGCAGCAGCGACAGCAGCAAAGCGAGTTTTGCCGGCCTTTAGCTGGCTCGTCTGCAGTTCCCTGATTCGAATGCGGAGAGCAGCAGCAGCAACAACAGCAACCGCAGCAGCAGCAACAGTTGCCGCAGCAGCAGCAGCAGCAGCAGCGGTTGCAACAGCAGCAGCAGCAGCAGCACGAGTTGCAGCTGCTGCCTGTGCTTAGATGCAGCATTTTGTGCCCTTAGGATGTGACGGCTCCGAGGCTGATGAGCGCAGCTCCCCTTCAAGCCGACAGCGGAAACAATCTGCTGCTGCTGCTGCTGCTGCTGCCGCTGCTGCTGCTGCTGGCTTCTCACTGATCCCCGCGGGAGACGCTTCTCACTCTGTGTCTCCTCCAAGGCCTCCCCAGAGGCCTTCGCTGCAGCGGCAAGCAGCAGCAGCGGCTGAAGCAGCAGCAGATGCTGCAACTAGAGCAGCAACAGCAGCAGCAACTTTAGTCGGCATGCTGCGGAGGAAGCGCTGGCTGGCGCTGCTGCTGCTGCTGCTGATACTATCTGTCTTGCTGCTGCTGCGAGTTTTCTCCAGCAAATCGCAGCAGCAGCAGCAGCAGCAGCCGCAGCAGCAGCAGCAGCACGGCGCCGCCCCCAAAGGCACATTTAGCTCTCCGTGGCAGCACGAAGATGCAGGAGCAGCAGCAGCAGAAGCAGCACCTGCTACAGGAATTTCAGCAGCAGCAGCAGCAGCAGCAGAAGCCCTAGGAATCCACAGCCGCAGACCTCGGGGCACTTACTTTGTGCAGCATTTACCGGGCTACACTGCAGCAGCAGCAATGCCCGCAGCTGACGCAGCAGCAGCAGCAGCAGCAGCAGCAGCAGCACATGGCCGCGGCTACGACTATCTGTTGGCTGCGCCTCTCTCAGCTACTTCTGCTGCACTTTCTGCAGGGTCAGCAGCAGTTTCAGCGCAGCAGCAGCAGCAGGAGCAGCAGCAGCAGCAGCAGCAGCAGCAGCAGCAAGTC